TATGTTACTTAAAAGCATGGAAATGTAATTTTGACTTTTAATTCAGATAATGGTGTGGTATTCATTAATAGCTCAGTGTTTTAAGTTATCCAGGCATCGGTGCTAAGTAAAATATGGAAAATGTATTATGTGTACTTTTAACATCTTAAATTTGATAAGAGAGACTTTTAAGTTTGCCAGCATGTATTCTCATAGGTTGTCTATACATGATAATTCAAGACTGTAAAAGTAACTACAGGTATAAAGTTTCAGAAGGTGTGAGCAAGTCATGAAAAGTTGTAAAAGGTTTACGATTTTAAAACATTGTTTACAGAGTTTTCTATAAGTTAAATGTTAATGCCAAAATTACACTAACCTAAAGTTGAAGTCTGATCTTCTGTTATAACAATGGGATTTTTTAAAATGTGTACTAATGTTAGTAATTATCTGGAAATGGTCTCAATTGTAAATCTTAAAATCTGTTGTTGCAAAAACTGTAACGTCTCTTTTTAACACTACTGTCTGTTAAGTTATGATTGATAAAAAGTATTAAGTCTTAAAAAGTTATGTTAAATATTATTATGATCAGATCTGGTCTAAAAGTGTTAAAATCGCCCTGACTAAATGTTAAGGAATTCTATTTTGACCAGATACTCTAAGTTCTCTTGGCACCTTTAACAGACTTTCTGAAAATCAAAGTTCTAAATTCTCTGGACTTTTGGTATCTCCAGAGGGCCCCTGGAGATGTCAAAAGATATCTCTCTCATCTTGCAGAGATACTAACCAATTGGGCTGTTTAGATTAAAAGTGGTGCCAAGATGTGAAATGATGCTAAACTTCAGTTATAAACGTGTTTCTTTCTACCTGCTCCAGTCTCTGGCTCAGAAGCCAGATCCTTTAAAGAGGGACTGACAAAATCTAAGAAGCATCCCATGGTCATGATTTGCATCACCTCAATGCCCAGACCTTATGATTAAGATAGGGAATCACCCAGGAATAGGCAAGGCAAATTGTAAAATCCTGCCCTTCCTGTGTCACATTTCTCCTGGTCCCTTATTATGGTGTAAATCCTAGAGGTTTTATGCCTAATCAGCTTTGGCAGATGGATGTTACCCATTTTTCTGAATTTGGTAAACTAAAATACATACATGTTTATTTAGATACATGTTCAGGTTTTGTTTTTGCCACCCCGCAATGTGGCGAGGCTGCCAAACATCTCTCATTGCCTTCAGGCCTTTGCTGTTCTAGGAACCCCTATACAGATAAAAACTAATAATTGTCCAGCGTATACTTCCAACTCTTTTAAGCACTTCTGTACTAACTTCCACATCTCTCATCACCGGGATTCCTTATAATCCCCAGGGACAAGGTATTGTGGAACGAGCACATGCCACATTAAAAAATTATTTACAAAAAATAAAAAAGGGGGAATACGGGACCATGGCATATTCCCCACAAAAATGGCTATCACATGCTCTTTTTATTTTAAATTTTCTAATACTGGATAATCAAGGGAAAGCTGCAGCTGATCGTCACTGGCATCCTGAAACCAAAAGACAACAAGTCTACGTGAAGTGGAAAGACCCTCTAACTGCTCAATGGTATGGACCTGACCCTCTTTTAATATGGGGATGTGGACATGTTTCTATATTCTCAATGGTTACCTGAGCGACTGGTGCGGCAAACAGACAATGTCACAAAGCAGCCCCTCGATCTTCATTATGATAACATTGCTGATTGGGATCGTTACTGCAGCCGTTATAACTGCCATTTCCATTGCAGCTGTGGGTGCTACAACAGCTGCTATAGTGCTCACAGGGACAGTTCAAACTGCTAATACCCTGAATAATTTAACGGCCTCCGTGGCTGCTGCTTTGGATACTCAGACATCCTTAAATGTACATATAAAGGGAGGCTTGATGATTGTTAACGTGTGGATTTGGTACAGGAGCAGGTGGATACTCTCTGGCAGCTTGCTCAGCTAGGATGTGAGTGGAAATTTTCAGGGTTGTGTGTGACCTCTGTTCAGTACAATAACATGACTCAGGCAGCAAATTACTCTAAACAGTTGTCTCAGATGCTCTTGCAGAATTGGTCTGCAGAATTTGACTATACCTTGAAGCAACTGTGCCTTGCCGTGGTCACCATCAACTCCACACATGTGGATGTCTCCTTCGCATCTGGATTGTCATCCTGGATCCACACAGCCGTCTCCAACCTGAAGGAGTGGGCAGGACTTGGAGCTTTGACGGGGTTGCTGTTACTTGTTGTGTTATTTTGCCTGTGGTGTTTGTGCAGGATGAGGACAGCTCATCGGCGGGAATTGGCCATGATAGCTCAAGCCTTTTATGCCCTTGAGGCTGGACAATCGCCGCAAGCATGGCTGGCCTTCCTTGAATGCTAGGCATGGGTGCAGGGTGCGAGGCAAAGCACTGCAGAGAGAATGAGCCATTACGTTCTCTGGAAGGCAAGTCTGTCTGCATGTGGGTTGGCATCCCAGATCCCACCCCCGCGAAAAGGATGCTGTTCCAGGTGGATGCCTGGCAGTGGGGGACAGACCCCTACCTTCTCCTGTAATCCTTAGATGCCTGGTTCTAAAACAAAAAGGGGGAACTGTGGGGAGCCATTGCACCGCACCCTAAAGATGGCACCGGCTCCTTTCTCCCGGAAGGACTGGCGAGAAACAAACAACTCCTAATAAGGAGATGGCTGAGCTCCCTTCTGGCTTCTGCATTGCTGTACCTATCAATCCTTGCCACTTGGCTGCTTTTGATTGGTGTGCTGATGGCTATAAGAGGGATGGGAGAGGGAAGGAGGAAGAAGAAGCTTGTTCAAGGTTCCTGAATAAACTGCTTGAAGAAGAGTTCGGGTTGTGTCTTCCTTGCTGGTCGAGGGACGCGACAAATTGTGAACTGAAATTGATTACTTTGAGTAGTGAGATGGCATTGGTACAATCCACCTTGCTGGGATTTAATTGGAATCCCCTGGCCCATTTCTAACTCTACCATTTGGGACTGACTTGCCCCGTAATATTTATTTTAAATAGCTTCACACAATGCCTACATGTAAAATGCATTGTGTTCTGTCAGATTATAACTTCCTTTCACACATAAACAGCACCATGCTTATAGCATGGAATTAAGGTAATCACAGGATCTCTGGCATGATTTGCCCACCTTCAATCTCCAACCTTCAATGCCACTCCAGAGAGCTCTTTCTAAAAAGGTAAATCTTATCCAGTCACATGCTTCTTTACAATTCCATCAATAGCATTTAGATTAAAATACAAGATCCTCTAGTATCTAACTCTTTCTAATCTATCTCCTATTTTCATAGAACTATGTGGCTTGAGCTATGCTGAACTGTATGTATGTGAATGTGTACTTCATTCTGCTGTCCCGAGGCGTGGAACTATATGGCCCACTTCATACAGTGTGTCCACCTTTTTCTTAGTGAATTTCACTTCATTCTTAAAGACCAGTCCAGACATCACTTTCTTCTAAGAAGCCTTTCCTGACCTGAGATTAGTTAGAGTGACTCTTCTGTACTCTAAGAGCAAAAAGATGTTTGAGTACTTTTCCTAATATACCATCAGTTTTGAAGCCTCTAAGAGGATTATTTTCTTGCTCAGTGGCCTCAGGAGAGGGTATACAGCAGTAATTAAGGCATGTTAAATAAATTCTATAAAGAATCAAGATATCAAGGATTAGAACTGCAAATACACAATACAACATTTTCAATTAAACCTTATATGGTAGGCTATGAAAAATATCTGAAAGGAAATAAGCTATGGAACTATCTGAATGTTTATGTAAATTATTTTAAGTTTTTGTTTTTTATTCTTAAACATAGGTTCATTAGGTAAAAACAAACATAAGGTGATTTTTTGAAAATTAATTAATTTAGAGATGAAACAAGAGAATAACTACAAATTTTAATAAATAGAATACAGCACTTTGATAAAACAGAAGCCATAGAAATTAATGTACAATGCAATCATATTTATGCACATAACATGAAGCAAATTACTTAAATTCACTACTTCTTAGATGCTATTCTTCTAATCCTAACTTTTTATGCAAGTAGCAAACAAGTAGGAAACTAGTTAGAATAGTAAAATATTACAAATATCTACACCCATACTATTATGAACTATGATCTTGAGCAAGAAATATTGGTGCCAATTTTGGAAGCATTTCAAGTAATGCTTAATTTCCAGAATTAAGTACTATTAATCAGAAAGAGAAAATAAAATATCTATAAGGAGCACAACTATGTGATTCTACCTGAAAATGATCTCATTATAGTTGGATATCTATAAATTTCAAATGGTAAAAATACTAGAAAGGGGATTATAAAAATGAACACCTCTGGATCTCCAGAGCACTTTTCAATGAGGTGCAGAGTTGACTAGAGAGAGTAAATAAGGTTAATGCCCCAATTTCACTTTAATAGGTTATTTTCCAAGCAGAAAGAGATTCTGTAAACAGCTAAAAGTGAACACACACACAAAAAAAACTGTTTATAAATTCTATGTAGCGTTGTCATATGGTTAGCCCATTGTAGGGGACTCTGTAGAACCTGAGATCCTTTTTGGAGGATGTCCAAACATCAGTCAGTATAGGTCACATCATCTATTGAAACCAATTCTCTGGAGAGAAATGTGTTGAAAATGGTGTCTCATCTTTGATAGTTCAGTACTCTATGAAGACTTTCTTTGTCTATCTCTTCTGACAGCAAATCTCTAAATCTTCTGTTGGAATGAAGAAACAGCAATCATGTCGTTGAATAAGGTTGTTGAAAGGAATAAGAGTTTATGCTCCTTAAATTCAAGCACTCACCATAGCCTTCACAAATTTGGATCAAAAATTCTAAATTAGTTATAGAATTCTGTTTTAGCCTTGCTGTTCCTCCCAGCATCCAAAACTATTAACATTTCCTGACTTCTGTTTGTTTCTTTCCTCTTCTCTCTGCTCCAGCACAATGCAGCTTCTTAAATGACCTAACGCTAATCTCTACAGGTATAGGGGAGGTAGCTAGAGGATATGCACTTATTTATCCCAATTCATTTAACCTAAGGGTACATTATTTTTATTTTTATGTTTTACAATTGTTGTAACTTAAAATATTAATTATGTATTTAGTAGTGTTATACCAAAGCTAATGAAACTGAGTACAGATTCTGTTAGAAATTTCCTATTTTTTCTTCCAACATCAGTAAAATGGTGTCAGGCATCAAAGATGGAGGCTGGGTAAAGAGGAAAGAAAGCAGAAAAAAGAAAGCAAACAGAGTTTTTGAATAATTTGTTCCATATTTATTTCTTCTTTCAAAAAGATACCTACATCTTATGCTTTCAAATACCTATATTTGGCACAAATTGATATGGTATAATTATTTTTCTATCTTTATAATTAAATATGCCATTTAAGAAAACTTGCAAAAAATATTTTTGTTTTCTTAAGGTTTAAAGATTTATTTATTTGAAAGGAAGAGTTACAGATGGAGAAGGAGAAGAAGGAGAAGGAAAGAGAGAGAGAGAGATCTTCATCTGCTAATTCACTTTCTAATTGACTGTAACACCCAAGGCTGGGCCAGGCTTAAGCTAAGAGCCAGGAACTTCTCCTGGGTGCCACATGGGTGGCAGGGTACCAAGAACTTGGGTCATCTTCTGCTACTTCCTAGATGCATTTCAGGAATCTGGATCAGAATTGGAGCAGCTGAGGCACAAACCAGCATCCATATGGGATGATGGCATTGCAGGTGGTGGCTTAACTAGCTATACCAAATGCCAGCTCCTCAATTTTATTTTTAAAAAATAGTTAAATATCCCATTAGTATTAATGTATGGTAATATTAAGTAGGAACAGCATAAATACCTAATGATTCCAAAATTTACAAGGCTGAGGAAATTTTGATCAATGTAATTAAAAGTTTTTGTGTGAGACTTCCAAGAAAACATGAGAAAAGCTCCATTTTATTACACACTAATTTTTCCATATTTTAGGTATGATAGAAGTTCATTTTTACACCTTCCTGAGTTTGATAAATGTATAATTATTATCATTTAGTTTGTCAAATAATTAAATCAAAGTGATAAAAGTGTAAATATCTTCAATATTGAATATAACTTATCTGTGAACTAGCTATGAAAGAAATCCTATTTTTTCAATTTAAACATATCCTAATATACTATAATTCATTGGAAAGTTATTCTGTGGAGTATTCTTACCTAATACTGCCTTAAATGGTAATCCTATTGTCACTGTAAAAAAAACAAACCATTATCATTATTGATAGACCACAGAAAAAGCCTTTAAAATATCATCACTTAAAACATTATAAGACCTAAAATATGATATAACATCTTATCTTAAACCTGTCGCTCCCCCTCTTCACGGAGGAACGACACCAAACCCTGCCTAGGCTTCCTATCCGAGTCACGGCACCATTATGTCGCTCCCCCTCTTCATGGAGGAACGACACAGGACCCTGCGCTGTTCTTTTGTCTGCTCGGCCCTCCCCGGGCTTGCTGCTGGTTCTTCCCGGGTTGGCTACCGTCCCTTCCACCTCCGTGGAAGGGCGGTTCCCCCTGCCACTTTCCCCACTTCCGCGGGGGAGCGGCACACCACCAGCCGGCTCTCTTGGGGGCTGCACAGGTGTTCCTTCAGATAGATGTTCCTGGTGCATGTTGTCTCTCTCCTCCTTTATAGTCCTCTTCCACCAATCCCAACTCTGCTACCCACATGCCGAGTACGCTGCTCTCCTCCAATCAGGAGCAGGTCCTGCTGTTTATTGGTTGAACTGGAGGCAGCTGTGTAGAAGCTGTTTCCTCCTCTCCCAGCACCATATTGTGGGAGAGCTGATGCATAGAATAAGTCTTAATTCCAGTAACATTATAGTCCGAGTTGCTCCCCACAAAACCCAAATGAATTAATACCATTCAAAATTTTCAAATATGCAGATATTTCATACTGCCAAGTAAATAACCAAATTAATTGGCATGTATATGCGGTGCTGGCATCACAGACAGTGGTTGAACATGTTGAGCCACAATGTCAGCTCCAAACTGCAAATAATTTTCTTTATATTGAACCCTGGAAATGATTAAGAATCTGTTAGTTCTCACTCTGTCTCTCCATCTCTGTCAGCCTCCTTTCAACTAAATAAAACTCTAAGGAAAATGAGACCAGTGCTGTGGTACAGTGTGGTGAGCTACTACCTCCAAGTCCCAGCTGCTCCACTTCTATTCCAGCTCCCTGCTAATGTGCCTGGGAAAGCAGTGGAAAATGACTTAAATACTTTGGCTCCTGTCACCCCATGGGTGACCCAGATCATCCTGGTTTCAGTCTGGCCCAGCCTAACTGTTGCAGCCATTTGAGGATGGATGGATGATGGATGATCAATTTATCTCTCTCCCTTGCTCCCTCCCTGTCATTCTGCTATTCAAATAGATAGAATAAAACTTTTTTATTTTTAACTTTATTAGAGAGGGAGAGAGAGAGAGAGAGAGAGAGAGAGAGAGAGAGACAGACTCCATCTACTGGTTCTTCAATGGACAAAGCTGGGCCTGTCTGAAGCTAGGAGCCAGCAGCTTCTTCTGTGCACAGGAAACCAAGTACATTATTTAGCACATAGAATAAGTACTAGGTATTATTGTTAGTATTGAAGAAACTACAGAAATAAACTAGGTGATAAGCTTTAAAATGCAAATTGACATTAAGAAGTCTAATATGAAATTTCTACGTTCATGAAAATACTCTAAATTTTTTCACCATTAACTTTATACTCAATAAAATATTTTGAATTCATATTAAAAATAAATGTATAAATGTTATCATAAAAATCAATTGCTGTATTATAAGATCCCTCTAATTATAAATGCCTGTGACTCTTAAATAATTAGCATTTATTGACTTCTTTTCACCTAAGAAAGCATCATAATTCACACTTACTTGACTTTTATGTATAAATACATGCTTTTGCAAGAGCTGTATAATGTATTTAGGGTATATACCTTGCTTCCAGTAAAGTGGCAATGCTCAGTCCTGTAAGCCATGAACAAGACAGTTTCAATTCTTCAGCATTACACACAGCTGTAAATTCCAGTAGCATAGCAGAAGTATTATCAGTATATACAAAGGAAGATAGAGGTTTACAAAATTTTTGGAAAGGCATTAGTATAGTAAATATATTTATTTCTAAAGTTATACCATTTGAATATTTAGAACAGGAAAACTGATAGGGCATGCACGGAGGGTCTGGGAAAAAGATAGTTTAATAAAAGTGGAGTTATTGTAGTCTCAGGGAAAGGCTCAAAAAAAATTGCAGAGGAAACTCTTCTGGATCTAGTGGATGTGACACGGAGGACCTACAGGGAGAACAAGGATGCCCACAGCTCAGAAGCCCAGCTGCAGAGTCTGCACACCAGTGCTGGAAGGGGAGATGAGACAAAAACCTCAGTAGCCTGAGACATTGGCAGGGAAATGGCAGAAAGAACCTAGAGGGAACAAGGCTTGAAGCCCCGCTGGAGAAAATTCACCAGGCTAACTGGAGGAGAGAAAAAAAATGAATAAATAAGCAGAACCAGCAAGGACACTAGCCTCTCTCTCCACTCACCTTACAAAGCTGAGCAAGACAAAGCTCAGGCACCATTTTGGACATATGTAAAGCAGTGCCTGCCATCAGCCAAGCAGAAAAACCTGGCTCTGGTGGGGAGAAATAACAGGAGGTTAGGACCTAGTGAAGGTGTGGAGCTAATGAACTGAGACTGTGAAAACCTGAGGGTGGGCTAGAGAACTCACGGAGCACACAAACTTGGTAACCTTGGCAACCTGGTGAGAGAATGCAGAGAAATTTGAGACCACACTGAGGGCTGCATAGACACTTTGTGTAGTCCTTAGGGTAGAGTGGACAAATACACACAAGGGCCAGATTTCATACATCGAGGACACTCAATTCCGCTCAACTGTGCAGAACTACTTCCCTTCTGAGTAAAAAAAAGAGAGAGAGAGAGAGTGAGCTACAAAGAGAGAGGACAACCTTGGTGAGTCACCTTTGGCACACCCTTAACCCTGAAGAACCAGAGCTCTCTGGCCACACCCATCACAGCCTCTAAGGATCCATCAAAAGCTGACAGTCCACAAATCTAGAGTCATAATATAACGAGAAAACCCACTACAGTGAAGAAACCAAAGAATATCTCCACAATGACAAACAAAAAATGCAGAAACCGAGGAAACAAGGAAGACACTATGATGCCCCCAAATGAACAAGACATCCCAAGACTGTCTTGTTCAAGATTATGAAGATGATGAGAAAGAAGAAATGCAAACAGATCTCAAAAAATTGATAAGAACATCAAGAAGTTCTCAAAAACAAATTCTTGAACTACAAAAATCCTTATTAGACAGGATAGCAAATCTCACACGAAAAAGGAATATTAAGGAGGAATCAAAATGAAATGAAGCAACTAGTAGAACATGAAACTGTGATAGTGAAGAGAAATCATAATGAAATGAAGAATTCAAGAGATCAAATGACAAACACATTAGAGAGCCTTAAAAACAGAATGAGTGAAGCAGAAGAGAGAATATTGGACTTAGAAGATAGAGAACAGGAAAGTATACAGTCAAACCAAAGAAAAGAAGAGGAAATTAGAAATCTAAAAAATATTGTTGGGAATCAACAGGATACTATTTAAAAACCCAACATTCGGGTTCTAGGAGTCCCTGAAGGCATGGAGATGTAGAAAGGATTAGAAGGCCTTTTTAGTAAGATATTAGCAGAAAATTTCCCAGGTTTGAAGGACAGAGACATCCTAGTACAGGAAGCTCATAGAACCCCTAATAAACATGACCAAAAGAGATCTCCACCATGACACATTGTAATTAAACTCACCACATAAAGAAAGATCCTAAAATGTGCAAGAGAGAAACGTCAGATTACTCTCAGAGGATCTCCAATTAGACTCACAGCAGACTTCTCATCAGAAACCCTACAGGCTATGAGGGAATGGTGAGACATAGCCCAGGTACTAAGAGAGAAAAACTGCCAGCCCAGAATACTATATCCTGCAAAGCTCTCATTTGTGAATGAAGGTGAAATAAAGACCTTTCATAGCAAACAGATTGAAAGAATTCATCACCACTCATCCAGCCATGCAAAAAAATGCTTAAAGATGTGCTGCAAACAGAGAAACGCACGGCCATCAGTATGAAAGAAGGTAAAGGAAGAAAACCTCCCAGTAAAAAATCATAGGAAGCTCAAACCATATACTAGAAAATATCTGGGAAAACAACAGGGCAAAGTTACCACTTATCAATAGTCAAATTCAATGTTAATGGACTCAACTCTCCACAGACTGGCTGAATGGATTAAGGAACAAAACCCATCAATTTGCTGCCTACAAGAAACACATCTTTCCAACAAAGATGCATACAGACTGAAAGTGAAAGGTTGGAAAAATATACTCCATGCCATCAGAAACCAAAAAGAGAAGGTGTAGCCATATTAATATCAGACAAATTAAACTTTAATACAAAAACTGTTAAGAGAGACAAAGAGGGACACTATATAATGATTAAGGGTTCAATTCAACAGGAAGATGTAACTATTATAAATATATATGCACCTAATTACAAGGCACCAGTTTATTTAAAAGACATGTAAAGGGTCATAAACGGAGACATAGATTCCAATACAACAGTACTGAGGGATTTCAATACTCCACTCTCAGAAATAGACAGATCAACAAGACAGAAGATCAACAAGAAACCAGCAGATTTAATTGACACTATTGCCCAAATGGATCTAACAGATATCTACAGAACTTTCAATCCTATATTTAAAGAATTTACATTCTTCTCAGCAGTGCATGGAACCTTCTCCAGGATTGACCACATACTAGGCCATAAAGCAAATGTCAGCAAATTTAAAAGAATTAGAATCATACCATGCAGCCTCTCAGAACATAACGGAATGACGTTGGAAATTAGCAACTCAGGAATCCCTAGAGAGTATGCAAACACATGGAGACTGAACAACATGCTCCTGAATGAACAATGGGTCATAGAAGAAATCAAAAGAGATATCAAAAACTTTCTGGAAGTAATGAAGATAACAACACAACATATCAAAACTTATGGGATACGGCAAAAGCAGTGATAAGAGGAAAGTTTATAGCAATAGGTGCCTACATCAAGAAATTGGAAAGGCACCAAATAGATGAGATTTCACTGCATCTCAAGGATCTAGAAAATCTGCAGCAAACCAGACCCAAATCTAGTAGGAGAAGAGAAATAATTAAAATCAGAGAAGAAATCAACAAGATTGAATCCAAAAAATCATTACAAAAAATCAGCGAAGTGAAGAGCTGGTTTTTTGAAAAAATAAACAAACTTGACACCCCATTGGCCCAACTAACTAAAAAAATTAGAGAAAAGACCCAAATCAATAAAATCAGAGATGAAAAAGGAAATGTAACAACAGACACCACAGAAATAAAAAGAATCATCAGATATTACTACAAGGACCTGTATGCCAGCAAAGAGGGAAATCTATCAGAAATGGATAATTTCCTGGACATATGCAATATGCCTAAATTGAACCATGAAGCCATACAAAACCTAAATAGACCCATAACTGAGAAAGAAATTGAAACAGTAATAAAGTCCCACCCAACAAAGAAAAGCCCAGGACCAGATGGATTCACTGCTGAATGCTAGCAGACATTTAAATAAGAACTAACTCTATTTCTTCACAAAGTATTCAGAACAATCAAAAAAGATGTAATCCTCCATAATTCTTTCTATGAAAGCAGCATTACCTGAGCCAGTGAAAGAAGCAGCATTGAAAGAAAAATGCAGACCAATATCCCTGATGAACATAGATGCAAAAATCCTCAATAAAATTCTCGCCAATAGAAAGTAACAACACTTACACAAATATCCACTCAACATGAATTAAAGACCTAAATCTATGACCCAACACCATCAAATTATTAGAGAACATTGGAAAAACCCTGCAAGATATCAGCACCGGCAAAGACTTCTTGGAAAAGACCCCAGATGCACAGGCATTCAAAGCCAGAATTAACATTTGGGATTGCATCAAATTGAGAAGTTTCTGTACTGCAAAAGAAACAGTCAAGAAAGTGAAGAGGCAACCGACAGAATGGGAAAAAATATTTGCAAACTATGCTACTGATAAAGAATAACCAGAATCTACAAAGAGATCAAGAAACTCCACAACATCAAAACAAACAACCCACTTAAGATATGGGTCAAGGACCTCAATAGACATTTTTCAAAAGAGGAAATCCAAATGGCCAACAGGCACATGAAAAAATGTTCAAGATCACTAGCAATCAGGGAAATGCAAATCAAAACCACAATGAGGTTTCACTTCACCTCCGTTAGAATGATTCAAATACAGAAATCTACCAACAATAGATGCTGGAGATGTTCTGGGGAAAAAGGGACACTAACCCACTGTTGGTTAAAATGCAAACTGGTTAAGTCACTATGGAAGTCAGTCTAGAGATCCCTCAGAAACCTGAATATAACCCTACCATTCAACCCAGCCATCCCACTCCTTGGAATTTACCCAAAGGAAATTAAATTGGCAAATAATAGAGCTGTCTGCACCACAATGTTTATTGCAGCTCAATTCACAATAGCTAAGACCTGGAATCAACCTAAATGCCCATCAACAGAAGACTGGATTAAGAATTTATGGGATATGTACTTTATAAAAAAAATGAAATCCAGTCATTTGCAACAAAATGGAGGAATATGGAACACATCATGCTGAGTGAAATAAGCCAATCCCAAAGGGACAAATATCATATGTTCTCCCTGACTGGTGACAACTAACCGAGCACCTAAAAGGAAATCTGTTGAAGTGAAATGGACACTATGAGAAACAATGACTTGCTCAGCCCTTGTCCTGACTGTCAAGGAACAATTTACTACTTTATTCCTTTTAATATTTTATTGTTCTGCTTAATACCATTGGTTGAACTATTTAATTAACAGAAAATTATTCTTAGGTGTTTAAATGTAACTGAAAAGTGATCCCCATTAAATATAAGAGTGGGAATAAGAGAGGGAGGAGTTGTACAGTACAGCACTTGCTCAATTTGACTTACCCCTCATGGTAGAGTTAGAAATGTGCCAGGGGATTCCAATTCAATCCCATCAAGGTGGCATGTACCAATGCCATCTCACTAGTCAAAATGATCATATTCAGTTCATAATTGATCATAGTGATAGTATTAAGTGTCAAAAGAAACACATAAAGAAGACTAGTGTCTGCCAATACTAACTGATAGAATTAAAAAGGAGAGAACAATCCAACATGGGAAATGGGATACACAATAGACTCCTAGAATAGCAGATGTCCTAAAAAGCATTCAATCTGACCAAAATGCCCATGAGAGTATTTCAGACATAGAAAGTCAAGGCACTGTGGCAAAAAAAATGACGTAAGTGAAAGATCTCTGTGAGTGAGATCCCAGAGGAAAGAATGGGCCATCAAAGAAGGAGGTAACTTTCTCTGATGGGAGGAGAGAACTTCTACTTTGACTATGACCTTGTCTAAATAAAATCAGAGTTGGCGAACTCAAGAGGCTTCCATAGCCT